GCAAGGAACGTCATTACCATCGAGATTACAGGCACAACTTACTGAAAAGTGCCATATAGTACAAAAACCTACATCAATAGTTTCTTTTCGATTATCTCAATCTACCGAACAATAGTATTATTCCTTATTTATCTCACTTAATATATTAAATATTTCATTTAAAGTATGAAAAAGATTTCAGTTTACAAAATGTTTAATCTTTTAGCTTATTATTCAAGATAGATATCTTCTTTTGAAGAGATATGAAAAGAAAAAGAATCGAGGAATAATATATCCATTCTATTTACTTACGTGGAGGTGTTTTTTCTTTTCCAGTTGGTAAAACTGTTTTTAACAGGTCGACTAAGTCTAGTTGATCATCAAAGAACTTCATAATATCTTTCTCTGTTAGATTATTTTTTCTACCCATTGTAAACCAGGAAGTTTCCGTTTCTATTGAGCTTTCATCTGTTTTGACATGAAAAAAAGAATGTGATTTTTTATCGACAAATTAAGATGAGAATTTTCCAAAGATTTTTTTGTACAAAGTATAATTGAATTTAAGTGAATACTTACTTATGCCTGTTACTCCTCGTGGAGGAGCGGAGGCCACCCATCAGTACTCGCCATCTAAACCTGTCCTGGGCAATCCTTTCCAGCTCTATCCAGTTGTTATTCATCCTTTTCATATTTGCTTCTATTTCCCGAAGTAATGTGTTTTTTGGCCTTCTTTTCCTCTTCCCTTCAGGATTCCGAGTTAGGGCTTGCCTCGTGATGCAGTTTGATGATTTACGTAATGTATACCATATCCATTTCCATCGTCTTTTCCTAATTTCCTCCTCAGCTGGAAGCTGGTTTGTTCTCTGTCACAGAAAACCGTTGCCAATGGTATCCAGCCAATGGATGTTGAGTATCTTGCGTAGACAGCTATTTATAAATACTTGTACATGTTTGATGATGGTTGTAGTGGTCCTCCAAGTTTCAGCTCCGTACAGTAGAACTACCTTGACGTTCATATTGAAGATTCTGACTTTGATATTGGTTGAAAGTTGTTTTGAGTTCCATATGTTCTTCAATTGTAGGAATGCGGCCCTTGCTTTGTCAATCCTCGCTTTTACATCTGCATCTGAACCTCCTTATTATGTGAAGGATTCTACATCTTCCAGAGTTTCGCCATCAAGTGTGATTGGACTGGTGTTCACCGTGTTGTATTTGAGGATCTTGCTTTCTCCTTTGTGTATGTTGAGGCCTACTGATGCAGAGACTGCTGCAGCACTGGCTGTTTTCACCTGTACTTGTTCATGTGTATGGGATAGGAGGGCTAAGTCATCTGCAAAGTCTAAATCGTCCAAATGGTTCTGAGCTATCTATTGTATTCCGTGCTTTCCCTCAGAAGTCGAGGTCTTCATAATCCAATCAACCACCAGAAGAAAGAGAAATCGGTAGAACAGACTGTCTTGTGTGACACCGGTTTTTACTTGGAAAGCGTCTGTCAGCTGTCATGCGTGCACCACTTTGCACTGTAGTCCATCGTATGAAATCTGGATGATATTGGCAATCTCAGGTACTCAATAGTGTCGAAAATTTAAGTGGATATCTAGCAAAAAATTAGAGTATCGGATAACTGTTTCATTGTAGCATATTACTTTTCAGTAGTATGGATTTCTGAACATGTCAGGGTTATTGTATTGTTCGTTATCCGGATAACCTATTTTAGTAATATTTTATTGAACGTGAACATAAGTGGAAACAATCGAATGTATTTTAATACAAAATTACAGAACATTTTAGTAAAATCTGAGAACCATACAATAAATATTTCATTTGCAAAATGTAAAACAATCGTCTCAGACTTCATTGTTCTTTCATTTCCATACCAATCATTCTCTGTTCCTACTCTTTTTTTCTTAAATCTTCTTAACCTTCTACCACTATGTATTTCACTTTCGATTCATGATACATACTACTTATATCTGTCGACATCAGTAGCACACATCACAATATTCTTATTTATCTTTTCAATTTTTACACATTAATAGTAATTGAAAAGAAAATGATCACAAGTTTCATAGTGATTTATTTATCTTTTAAATGTCAATCTAACCAATAAGATAATTGTAGATTGTGTTACTTATTTAAAAAAATCATTAAAGCATAATTGATTCTGTCATAATAATAAAACAATGAATTAGTATGTGAAGCACAAAGACAGGGGCTATTTAGCGACTCCAAATGGATCGTATGGATGTTATTGAAATATACATATCGTCAATCCTCATGTAAAATTATCAACTTAGATTGCGTTAAGGAATAACGGAATTAAATAAGTCAAATATGAGAATGCATTTTCGAATACATATATTTTGTACAATCGTTGTTTAAAACAGATAATCAGAGAGACTTAGCGAAGGAAGCGAAGAGGAGAGAGCGAAACAAAACAGCGTGCAGTGGAGAAGACATGTGAGTGAACTCCATTTAATCAAGCTTTAATTAATATTTGTATTCACACAAAAATAAGTTACACACATGTGATGAATAGGATAAGAAGTGTACTCACACATACGCTCATATAGAAACAGTCAACGTTGATAAGTGAATAATTAACAAGATCAAAATATTACTCAAGAGGAATGAACAAATTGTCTTATCCAGAAGCTAGAATAAGGTGCATGGGCTTAACATAGCAACTGACACTATGATTACACACTAAGCCGTTTAAAATTTCATATAATTAAAGTTTTAACAAATCTACTTAGTTGCCATTGTACATTTCTAAACATTACTATAAAATTATGTACTTATATTAATTTAATAGTTGAATTCATGAGTCAGTTGAAGCTAGGCCACAATGGAAAACCTGGAAGCACTGGACGGCCGTTACGTTCTAGTATGGGATTCCTCAGTAGTGCGCATCCATAATCTTGCCTCGCGAGATTCGAATCCACAAAACCCCTCTCTGATTATTCCTTATATACTGTTATTGTATAATATGAAATTTATTCATTTATGCAATATATCCTCAAATATCTTGAATTGGATATCACTATTTTTCTAACCAGAATATATATATTCCCTCTTTTCGATTATTATGTGTAAAGTAATCAGAATAGTAATTGCACTAGCGATTATAAGTAGTAGTATAGATGTACCATACCTGAATTTTTACTTCCATTCTTACGCTCAAATAAATCTTCATCTTTTGTTTGATTGTTAAGATAATTGAGTAGATCTTTATCAGTTATATTTTTATCACCCAATTTAACAACCCATGTTGTTTCAACCACTTCATCATCTGAATAAAAAAGAAAAGAGATGAACAAAGCATGTATGATAACAAATGGTAAAGTTTCCTTTCATGGAACATAATCACTGTGCAGTTCAAATAGATTATATTAAATGTAGTAGTTAAAAATAAAATTTATATGAATAAGAATTCTTTGACGAGGCTATAGTTTATAGATGAACTAAGGAGATATAAAATAACAGGTTTTGGATTTTGACTTGAAATTCACTCATCAATTTGGTTAAATAGAGTTTAGGTATTACAAGTGATATCCGTTTGCGACGAAAACATCGAATCTAATTCCTAACTCTAATCATCAACCATAAATCATTATTCTAATTCCTCACACTGGTTTATAACCTTTATTCAGTACTAGTTATTAGGTGGACACACTCAAGGTCAATCTAGCGTCGCTCAAAAGTCGTCCATCAATTTTAGTCTTCAATTCTTTTGCTGTACAGCATAGTTTATGAGTCAATACTAATAATGAAATATATGCAATAACAAAAGATACTAATTTGAGTGTAGCAAAACGACAAGTTTACTTGTAGTGACAAGAACAATGAAAATTTGAATCAGTGTTTTCAAATGAGAAGTAGATCAAAACTTAAAAGAAAATAACTACAAAATTTTACTTAATAAGAAGTTTGTGAATGATCAGTCTAGTACAGTGACGAAGAGAAACAAAAGAGATGTCAAGCGTCAAACCACTGGTAGAAAGAATTAATTTATAGCCTATTAGACTTTCTCTAAGGTTATTAGTATAACTGTATATATTAAAATCCAATCAACAATAATGTTACAAGCAGAGGGGGTTTTGTAGATATTATAGTAATTTTAATAGTTGAATACATGAGTCAGTTGAAGCTAGACCACCATGGAAAACCTGGAAGCACTGGACGGCCGTCCCGTCCTAGTATTCGGCTCCTTAGCAGTGAGCATCCACGACCGCGCCTCGCAGGATTCAAACCCAGGACCTAGCAGTTTCGTGCGCGAGCGTTTAACCACTGGACCACTGAGCGGGCATTCAACAGTGTTGATGTTTACCTTCCAATAATCCACGAAATTGAGTGACACATCCACCATTGTCATTTGTGAGTTACTATCTCATAATTGACCCCAATGAACTCCACTGCTTCTCACTAGAACTTCAGGATATACATCTTGAAGTCGGTCACTAGTGTGCATATATCGATTAGTATCTCTACATAACCCCTACTGTATTATTACTATTTCTTACCTTTAATCTAATTAGTTGACCTTTTAATTTTCATATAAAAATGTTTTAAGAAATATATGGTGTATGATCAGATTGTTCGAAATGTATTGCGCAAATATATATATTACATAGTTCTGATAAACTTCATCTCCTCAATACATTATCGAAATTTATCAAAAGGGACTAATTGTTTTAAATTTCTGAAAAGACAAACATCATGTTAGAAAACTAATGTATGGTAATAAACTAACCATTTTATTATAACTTACAATAATCATCTGATGAATTTGATGAAGGTTTTTCTTTGTATATAATAGTTTTCCTCATAATTGGCTTGAACTGATCTATTGAATTTGTAGTTCGTTTCGAAAT